TAAGTATGTTTTTGAAATATACATTTCTACCGTTGAAGTAGACATGGTCAAAAACCGGTGTGGGACCGGGTTCAAATCAATCATGAGCTGAAATAGTAACAATCTGGACAGGTCTTGATGTAACCCGTCCCGGTCCCTTCGAAAATACTAAGGCTCGATTAAGGGTACTTGTAAGCGGTTACAGTAACCGGTCCCGGCTCTGGTCTCGGGTCGGGCCCAAACTGGTCCTATATTTAAAAAAACATTTTCTTTTTATATTTTTTTTATAAATTTCTTTTTGATAAAAATTTTAAAATACATTAATGTTATTCTAATACACTTTAAAATATCTAATTAAGTCAATCAATTACACTTAAAAATATATTTTATTTTCGTTTTCTATAATTGGTTTTCAATCAAATACACTTAAAAAATATGTATTTATTGTAAATTTGTAATTTGATTTTGAATCAAATACACTTAGAAAATTAGAAATACATATAAAAATACATTTTTTTTTTAAAAAAATCGGTCGGACCTATAACCGGTCTCGGGCCGGACCTTGTTTTTGGATGAAAACCATAACCGGTCCTTAACCGGCAGTCCCAAACCGATCCCAACTGATCCCGGTCGGGCCGGTCCTAAGTCGGTCCCAGTTCCGGGTCCATCTGGCCATCTCTACGGTTGGAGGGTCAAAAAAAAGTTTAAAGTTTCTGAAAATGACGATAGTTTGTGTGTCACCATATGTCTCTCGATAACTTCTTATTTTAGGCATAATCCTTACAAAGTAACATTTACTCATCTCCCTGTTATTTAAATATTCTATTAATTTATTATTTTAATATATTTTTTAAAAATTATATAAAATAATAATCATTCAGTATAATTAATGAGAAAAAGTAACAACTTAAATAGCAATAACTTTTTTTTATTAACCTGTATATCCAACTCACTATACGAGCCGACTAATCCAAGGACGACCACCAACTTTGCAGGTAGCCCAGAGTCACCGTACTTGAACCTCCATGGACATAAGGGGATCTTTATTCCTCTTTGGTTTCGAACCTGGGACCTCCAGATACTTTTGACCTTTGGAGATCAAACTCAAACCAATCAGACACAACTCTTGTAGTTTTAAATAGTATCAGTGGTTTATATATCTGATTTTTGTGTTCTACCATTGTTAACCATCAAAACTCAAATTTAAATTTTGATATGTAATTGTAGCGTCTCATTTTCCAATGACGATGTCTTACGGTGGCACGCATCAAATCAATATAGCTGCACCTTTAAGAGCCGTATAACTTTTACATTAGGTAGGGATGGTTGAACAGTGGCATGGGACCTCCTAAACCATACATTAATATGATTCTATTAAATAAATATTGTTTAAAAAATATTGTTAAGATTTTGTTTGACAAATTAATCGCTAGCTGTTACTGATAAAAAAAAACCATGTTTGCTAAAAAATGGTATAGAAACTATATGACAATGTAAAATGACCTAAAATGATATGTTAAAAACTTATTTAGAAAAAATACAGGACATATAGGGAAAAAGAGTGGAAAAAAAGCTCATCGAACTTATTGAAACATTACTTTTTTTTTTAAATATATAATATTTATATATGACAAATAGAACAAATAAACTCACACACCCTCCTCATATTTGGTGAGGTCTGAACTCTTGACCTCTTAGGAGGCTAATGACTCACATATCGCTAGGCCAAAGACCATTTGATAACATTACTTGAATTAGTGTTTCAAAAAACTAACTTCTGATCGACTAAGCAAACAAAGAGTTTTCAATAAACTCAAAAAATAAGTTAGTTTAAGGATATCAAACATGCTTGAAAATGTTAAGAGTAAACTACAAATTTGGTCCTTGTGGTTTGTCAAAAATTACACTTTTTGTCCGTACAGTTTCAAATTTCATATTGCTCTTTAACGACCATTAAAAGATTCCATTAAAAGAAGCATTTTCGTCCTTTTATCGATTTTTTTGTCTTTTACCCAATCAAAAACCACAATAACCAAAATCATAAAATTGATTTTGTTTGAGTAAAAAGCTAAAAAAATCAATAAAATGACAAAAATACCTCTCATTTAAAGAAAATTTTTAACGACCGTTAAAAATTTCCATTAAAAAGAGCATTTTCGTTTTTTTATCGATTTTTTGTTTTTCACCCAATCAAAAACCACAAGAACCAAAATCATAAATCAATTTTGTTCGAATAAAAAACTAAAAATAATAATAAAATGACAAAAATACCTCTCATTTACAGAAGTTTTTTTCACCGTCGTTAGAGAACAATATCAAATCCGTATGCTTTTACAAACCACGATGGTAATCTTGTTATTTCTTAAACTGCATAAACAAAAACATTAATTTTAACAAACCATAGGGACCAAATTCGTAGTTTAATCAAAATATCTATACTATATTATAAAATATTTGACAAAAACCCTTAAAAATAACTTTTGTATGCATGAAGTACTGTTTATTAATGATATTACTTAAAAATTCAATAGTACAAGTAAATTGTGCGTAAGTACAACTTATTAAAACTTTATTTTTGAATTTGTGTAACAAACTACAGATAAACATAATCAAATACATGATAAACAACTCATTTTCAATATACAAAATTAAAATATAATTAGGATAATCATTGAGTTTTAACATCATATTTAATTATCATCCTTATAAAAATCATATTATTAAACAAAAATAAATTACTTTATTATTAGATCTAAATTAAATTTATAATAAAAAATTGAATTAAATAAATTACACAGAAAATGAGAACTTTTAAATAGTTAATTTAACACTAATATCGATACTCTTTTTTAAATTTATATTTCGTCTAAAAATAAAATTATTATCGTTTTCTAAAACCACGTAAAACGATATTATATCGATAGAGAAATGAATAAAATAAAAAATTAAAATCTAAAATTATCTCGTTACGTTGTACGAGTACCCTTCTAGTTATTATTGATATCGATAAACATATGAATCAAACGTAGGAGCATTCATCCAGAGCTTAATTGATTAAGACAAGTCTTCTAATTTAGTAGGATGTCCTTATTTTAAGGAATGGAATGATGGGTCACCCTTACATCTATTTCAAATATCTATGTATGTAGAGAAAATCTTCTAATGATTTTACATTTTTAATGATACAAAATCATAAATTATGCTATAATGAAAATGGTACACAGTTTTAGAAATGTGTAATTATTACACTTTTTAAATAATTAAATGACATTTTTATCCTTAATAATAGAGAGGATAACTTTATTCAGCTCATAATTGAGGGTAAAATGAGAAATTAAAAACTTATTTTTGGACAAATTAAAACAGTAATGTAGACATTTAATTTGGGATGGAGGGAGTGTGTTATTTGTGTATTAAAGCAGGTTGTATGATAAAATGCATTTATGTTACTGATATTTGAAAGAATGATTAGATGTCAGTCGAAGTTTTTACAATTATGTATACACATGTTATTGATTTAGGGGTCGGTTTAAGAGAGAAGGCTATATATCGTAAAAAGTTAAGAATATAAGGTTCATATGTGAATAATTAAAAAAATTCATTTGAATATTCACATGTGAACCTACTTTAGAGATTATTCACATGGGTTCATATAAGTACTTTGAAATAGATTTTTTTCAATGATTCACATATGAACCTTACTTTTTTATTTTTCTAACAATGTTTAGTCTTTTTATTCGAACCTGTCACTATTAATTTAATATCGTATGTTATCAAGAATTAATTTTCTTGGAATAAGGACGGTATTGGGATGTTGGTGTTGAGGAACTTGAGTTTGCTCTGGTGATTGTTTTCCGATCGGGTTGGTAGTGTTTCAATGCAAGTGAATGACGTTGATGTTGTTAGTTTTCACTCCATAAGATATTTACGTGAGTTGTGGAGGCACTGGTTAAGGTTCACGGGAATGTACTGGAAATTTCGTCTTCACTGGATTCCAATCTAAGTGTTGCCAAAGCCCTTATGACTATATAGGTTGACTCCAGGTCATTCTGGTCGCACGGGAGATTAGTAGTTGCGTGTAAACTAACCCGTATACACACGGTTACCCAAAAACATCTCAAGTCATTTGCAGTTGCTACACTTGTTTCGACTCGGTTACAAGATAGTTTTCTCTGTTTGATTTGGTTCTCATATGTATATGATTTCCAATCTCGTATTAGTTCAATACAGATTCAATTTCAAGCATAAAATTATCTTCTTTCACATATAAGGCCATGAAGAAGATCATCGGAATAACATTGAAATGACACTAATGATAATGATCACAATACTTTAAAGAGTCGATCTCGAGCAACTCTTTGTGGCCCACTACATGGCTTATTGGGGGTGTGCATCGAGCGGATCGACGTGGGTTTGAGTTGACAAACCAAAAATTCAATCGGATTTCAGATATTGAAACCAAGCCCTGAATTTTGGATTTCAGATTTCGGATTGCTTCGGACTCGAGTTGGTCGGGTTTCGGGTTGGGGTCGGTAGCATTCGGGTTTAGTTTTATGTTAAAAATATATATTTATTCAATCGACTGAGATGATTGATGACATCATAGGAGGTTTAGAAAATAGAAAAGAATATGACGAACTAGAATTTAGGATTTTCGAAAATTAATTAGATAAAGCAATATATTTATATAATATTTAACAATTATATATATATATATATATATATATGTGTGTGTGAGTGTGTGTATCGGGTTTTTGGTTTGGTCGGATGGTCAATCAAACCCAACCAGAACCCAGATATCCCTAAAAAGTCGAATTTTAGATTTTCAGATTTCTAGACCTTCGGATTTTGAGTTTTGCACAAACATATTAATTTCGATTGTGCTTAGAGTTTGGGTTTCGAACCATTCGACATATGATAACATATTAGCCCATTGGACCTTTATAATAAAGCCCAAGTTGTGGCCCAATAAGCCCACTTTAAATTTGCAAGCATATGATGCTCGAAACTTCAGGAACTTGGTCGATACTCCCACACCCTCGGAAAACACCACTGTTTTTTTTCTGTCTCGTAGCATCTCCGGAACTCCCGTTCAAAACTCCGGCTATCGATCACAGGTTAAAATCCTTAACATTTTCTTCTGTGTTTATTCGATTTTGTTTGAATTATGCAATTTTTAGTTTGGATCTGCATCCTCAAGTGAAGAATTAATATTCCATTGTATAATTATGCTCGTAATTCAGCTTAGATTTGATTTTTGATTTTTGAATTTCTGATATATGCTTTTCATTCGTTCTTAAATTGAGGAAATGTTCGTTTTCCTGTTTTGATTTGTAGCGATCGGTGTTTTGTATCTGTATGTATACATGTGTGCGAGATCATTAGGAAAAAGTATCTAAAAAATTTAATTGAATCTACTGAGTATATTGTGTGTAACTTGATTAGAAATGCAGTTTGAACATGCTTGTTTATGACTATGATTTTATGAAGATTGGCATCGTTTTAGGGATAAGCTTAAAACTGAAAAGTCTCATTTAGTTTGAGGAGGAGTGTTGAAATAAGGATCGTTTTTCTGGTTAATTATCTTATTGAGGATTTCTATGAAACTATTTTGCAGAAGAACTAGTTCATTCAGAAATCTGGATCTTCCAGTTGAGTCCTTTTGTAATCTGTTTGCTAAGGTTTAATTCGTAGCGTATGTGTGGTTGTGTGAAATGTTAATGTGTGGTCACCACAACTCCACAACCAAATTTGGTGCGGCTTTGTAATATCAAAGGCTAATAGTACTAGATATTGTCCTCCACATCTCGACTGTGGGGATATTCAGTTTTATTACCCTTCCCAACCACTGTGGGATCTCATAGTGGCCGTATGGTACTTACAATGGAGATGAACCTAGTCCGGGGACAATCTTAGAGAATCCCCACCAGATTCTTCAAATGGAGAAAATGGAGATTTTGGGTAAGTTTTTTGGTCCACAACATTCGCCAGAACGGAGAAAGTAGGAGAGAGTCTGTAAAATCCTCGAAAATGATTACCATGAAAGGAATTTTTTAATTACGTTACCGTCAATAAGAAACTTTGACATTATAGGAAATAGAAATAATATTTTATTGAACATAAGAAATATTTTTAATAATATAATCATTGTTGTAATCTCCAAAATGAAGAAGCTGTTGGAGTTGAATGTAATTTTTTTTAAAGATTTTGGCTTTTGATTCTCCACAATCAAGAAAGTTTGGAGATGCTTTTATTTGTATGTAAATGATTTGGGGAAAACAAGAGAGTAGTAGTGAACATCGATCTGGATGAGTGGCTAAAGCCTAAAGGTATTGCAAGAATTGGGCTTAGTAAGAATAGCATGGAAGGCACAAATCGGTTCAACCTTTTTTCGTTTAACAAACCAGAGAGTGATTGGACCAGTTTATGCACTGCTCGACTAATTTCATGGAGCCTTGAAATCAATAGTTTGGCAAATTGGTGACCGTTGAGGAGCAAACCTAGGTTTTACCGGTTGAGCTACCCAAAGGGTTATGTTGGTTTCACCTTGTATGCTTCTTATGGAGTTCATTCTTAGCTTATCATGTTAGGATTAGCAAACATCATATAGACAAACTAGAAATTAAATACAGAGTCATTACATGGTTTAATAGCTTGCCTACAACCATGGTTGTTGTTAGGATTCTTCTTATATTTTAGAGTAAATTACGATTTGGGTCTCTGTAGTTTGTTAATAATTTCGATTTTCATCTATGTGGTTTAGAAAATTGTGATTTTCGTCTCTATGGTTTGCAATTCGTTGCTATTTTTGTCCATAGAATAATTCTTACATTTAACTACAAGGGACCAAAACTGTAAAGAATTGTATACCGTGAGGACCGAAACACCAATAAATTATATTTATAAGGACGAAAATATCAATGAATTACAAACTGTAAGGACGAAAATTGCAATTTTAACAAACCATAGGGATGAAAATATAATTTACTCTAAATGTTTGAGTATCCCGTTCTTATTTTGGAAAATAAATGAAACATGCCCATGCGACCCCAATTTCTGAATAAAATAACGAGTTAGGTCTTTGCAGTTGCATTAGAGATTGAAATTGATAAAATAATGCAACGATCGGGACCTAATTTTTAATTTTTTCAAGATTAAGGACGATATCCGTTAAAAACGCTAAACCACATCGAAAAACGTAGTTCGCTATAAAGATTATGGCTTCTTGAATTTTTCTCTTGCTCTTATCTAGCATACTACAAATGATACAGATTTCTTCTAAGAAACAGGGGAAATAGCAACCCACATGCGTGGAACGGCTGCGTTATTGCCCGTGAAGAATAAATTCATTCGCATGTATCCCGTAAAAACATCATATGGTAATACCAGTTTTTGTTTCGATGTTTTCATTTTGTTGAACTTTCGTTTATAAAACAATCCGAACTCGAAAAATAATGTGCAGTTGCTAGTTTGACACCGAAGAAGGTAGAAGATGACGATTTTGAGAAGAAAGGAGAGATGAAGAAGGAAGGCGATCCAATTGTTACGTTCAGTACGCCGCCACCACAGATTCCACCGGTCCTCGGACCGATTGTTCTAATATCGCTCTGGGAAGCATCGTCCGATGACAAGTGAGAAATTAAGGTGATGTTTTTGAATCAAGAAACTGGTTTGGTTCTCTTGTCTTTGCAATTTGGAGTGATGTTGAGCTGAAACTAGAATCTTGATGACTCGAAGTCTACTATAAAAATACTTCGTTATAATAATAGTGTTCATCTGTTGAAATTCAATGGATTTCTTTAGATCTGATGCAATCGATTCCAATCCAATCATCGTATGGATGTTGGATTTTCTCATCCTATCCAATCCAATTAGCATTTGGTATCAGATCTATACCAATCTTATGGATGACTGGATCGGATCGGACCGGTTCAATCCATCGGATTTTGATACTCTTTCAGCCAATTGATCAACTGTTTCAACTAATTATTTGTATATTTTCTTAATTTATTAAAAAACCATTACGTCTAAATATCAATTGGAAAACATCGTAAAATGTTAATGATTATATTTAGTTATTAATTGAAATGATAGTTGGATGATATTAGACAGGTAATTGTATGGAGTTAGACGATAATTTGACGGTCATTGAATTGAATCGATTTGGTTTTTATTAGATTTTGGTTTTTAACAGTCGTTGCACATCTGAACCTTAAGGGACTATTTGGTCAGTTTTTTATCAAGTCTTGAATGGATAAAGTTGTATGTTTGGATCAAGGTTCAAAAACTTAAATGACGCGAGACGGCGGCAAGGTCGAGTCTCAAGTCTTACGAGTTATGGTAAAGCTACAACGTTTTCGAAGGGGTGTCCTAAGATGGCAATATATACATATAAGGAATCCTAAAAACAAACCACCTAATTTATTTAAGGGGTTATGATTAATAATGGCAAAAATTGTAATTTAATGGGCTAATTCAAATATTAATCATATGTGAATACCAAGTAACTAATGTGTTATTATATATGATTAGTTGGTATATCAACATATTATGGGAACAATATATCAAGTAATCATATGTGAATGACAGCCCCAGCCTCAACAAGCAACATGTAAAAACAAATGAACTAATAAAGTGATATCACAAGTGAGAATGCTTCATAATGAATATATTATCAAATGTATAATTGTGAGTAATCACATGGATTACAAAAAACATCTGTAAGAATTTAATTTAACACGAAATCATATGCGACTTGAATGAAAGAAGGAAGAATCAGTAAGCAACACAAATTCATATGTATAATTGAATGAAGGAATCCATTACCACCAAATGACAAGCAAAAGAAAGTCATATTTTATAGGGATATGGGATTGGTTAAAGATAGGTCATCAATTAAAGTCATAATTACCCTTTTAATTTATATGAATTTAATTTGCATATGATGTAACATTCCTGATGCTAAGCATTTATAACCTGGTAAGTGTTTACCGTGTTCGTCACCTTTACTTATCAAGTAAGACTCTCATCGTTGCTTTTTCTTTTACCGGGTAAAATTCTCGGTCCTTGTTATTTTTATCCACTAGAGGTAATTGAACCAATAAACGCTTACTCAAAGTCCCAACCCAAGGCGCAACAAATGTTCTCAATTTCAAGCAAATAGATGTCATGTACAATCAGTTTCTCAACACACAAAGAATTAGTCTCCTTAAGAAGTTGGATGGTAATAAATAAAATGAGATTTCATTCACAAAACCACTCTGCTGCCATTTTTACTTTTACTTGGACAAAGATTTACCTCTGGTAACCAGGAGCGGGATAGCCCTGTGGAGGATAACCGGCAGGTGGGTAGCCTTGAGCTTGCGGTGGTGGTGGTGGATAACCGTAGGGTTGTTGTCCGTATCCGACATTCGGAGGATATGGCTGATCGATCCTTGACATTTGCTGCATCGGCGGAACAGCCATTGGTTGTGGTCCAAACTTTCCATCTCGTTTATCCATTTCCACCTTGTGTTGTGTCTGCAAAATTAAATCCAGTTGTCGGTTTCCACTATGTTGTTAGAATCAGAAAAATTCCCGTTAAGCTTATAGGGCTGTTTGGTTGGTTTTCCGTCAAATCCTGTATGGATAAAGCTGTCTGGGTGAATTAATTTGTCTGTATAGAATGGAAGGTTTTTGGTTGGGAGGTTTTTTTGTAGATGGAAAAAACGTGTTTTTCAATTGGGAGGGGCAGATCTGGAAAAAAAAACTTGGCTTTCTGCATAAAGCTCCCCCTAGAAGCTTACTGAATAAGTCACTTTCTATATCATTAAGCCACTACTAAATAATCATGTATAGCTGACCAAATAAGCTGCGAGTCCCATTAGGCTCGTTAAGCTGCTAACAAACAGGCTCTTAAAAGCTATTTGGTTAGTTTCATGGTAAGGAAGAAGGGGGGGCACAGGCACACTTGGAGAGCGCAGTACAATGAAAGGGGTGATCTCGTAGTTCTTGGTCTGTGAAGATGGATTAATTTGACTTATAAATTATGAAGGTCTTTGTCGGAATTTTTTTCATAAATGGAAGGAGCGTGTTATTTAATTAGGATGGACATGCATGGAAAAAAACTTGGCTTTCTATATAAAGATTCCTCCTAGAATCTTACTAAATAAGCCACTTTCTATATCATTAAGCCACTAATAAACAAGCCCTTAGAAGTGTACTAAAGACAGGTAATAGATAAATAATTGTTCCAAATTTATGTAAAGCTTATTTACCTGCATGCACGCACAAACCCTGCAAAAGCAAATTATAATAAATACGTTAGAATATCGTCTTTCATATCGTTTTAACCGAATATATCAAGTTGGTGAGGTGACGAAACGACTTACGTGCAATAGACCAAATCAGCTAAGCAATTCAGCAACTGAGATGCCTCACTGAGTTCTTCACTTCCAACAAGACAAGCAACAATAGAGAATATGCATGCAAGTTGTTGGAGGCAAAACATGAAACCCTGGCATAAATGACCATAAAACAAGTTAATCGAAAGTGAATAACGATGGACGTTAAAAACAAAGAGTTTCACGAAGATATTACAATGATGCAATTATCGCATTGAGTTGTTTGTATGTTGAACTCATCTTGCAATAGAAACCGTGTTGATGCTACCGAGTTCCCAAAGCACAAGAAGACCTGAGAATTGCCAAAAGAGAAAATAAAAGATGATTATAAGAAAGAAGATAATAACAGTGGTCGACCAAGTTCAATAGATTCGGTGGCACTGGCCACCTCTTCGTTCCTCCATCATAGTGTAAAAAATTACAGGGTCATGAAAGGTGCTAACGTATCATTTTGTTTTGTGAAACCGTATATATTTTTTAAAACTATAATGGTGACACAACTTTCCCTTGGTAGAGTTGGTTTGCATGATTTTTCTCCCACCCTAGACCCAGTTTTGAATCCCGTTTGTGTCATGTTCCTTAGTTTTTAGCTTTTAATTTCAGATTTATTATGTTTCTAAAAAATTTGCAATAAAGGACTTGAACACAGGACCTCACATATGAAAAGCAAAGAACTAAACAATAGACCAAAGATTATTTTGTGAAAAATATCTATATCTTTGTTTTATTCCACAAGTCATGAAATTGAGGTATAATTGGAACTACGCCCATTTTTCATGCCAGGTGACGATTGAGGTTACGGGTGTCAAAAATGAGGGTTGTCACAACAAGTCTATTAGGAAGAAGAGGAACTAAGCAAAGCCTAAGGCTTCAAGCGTAGAAAGGATTGTATATAATTGTCCAAACCTGCTATTAAGCACTTGATTTATGGGCTTCAAACTCAAAATATGGGAACTTTTCTAGTTTAATGATGCCCAACAAGATCATATAATATTTAGAAGTTAGGACATACATTCAGAATGTTAACTAACATCAACTTTTTTTTTTAACCTGGATATCCAACCTGCCATGCAAGTCGACTAATCCCAGGGCGACCACCTGCTTTGCAGATAGCCCGGAGTCACCGCATTTGAACCTCCGTGGCCACAAGGGGATTTTTATTCCTCCTTGGGTTTGAACCTGGGACCTCCTGGTACTTTTGACCTTTGGAGCCAAACTCAAACCAATCAGGCACCACCCTTGTGGTTATTAACATCAACTTTGGTTTCAGAAGATACTGTTTGAAACTGGGAGATTTAGTAAAGGAAGAAGTTACTATCATATTGGGACCACAGTCAGGGTATGATTCTTGGAAACATTGGCTTTCAGGTCTATCCCTTGCCATATAAGTGACATGAGTCAGCTAGTAGCATAAAGGCTAAAGCAACTTGGTCCAAAAGCACAACTTACACCTCCTGATAACAATCTAAAGATGAAAATTTGCTCAATGCAATGCATAATGTCTAGTGGGAAGTTTCAAGTAAAGTGATGAACTTAGGAATAATTCTAGCCTCTGAATGCTCCCTCACACCAATAAATAATAATTCTCCCAGACCTATCCCGATATTCCACGCTTTTGGAATTCTACATCTCTTTCGGCTATGCCTCCCAATGTTATATAGTTTGACCTCCCTTATCCCAACCACTTTGTGCCCATTACACGACTCTTGTCAGTCACCACGAGCAAAGATGTTTTAAAGAAATCCATGAGCTTTTAGGAATATACATACCTCGGTGCAAAGGCATAATTCAGGACATTTACTTTCTCCACACCTTCCACTGCATGGCATATATCCAGCACAGCATGTATACCTATGACAGGCAGGGAACAATATGATAATGAAACGACTAGTCTCCTTTGAAGTACAGTTCAGCTGAAGAAGATTTGTGCATACCTTGACATATCATTATAGAGAGCTCGCTTACGAAGTAAGTATGATACACATGGTCCACTGCCATTTATATAGAGTTAGAGGAAAGATGCATTAGTAAGAAAAAAGATGAAAAATAAGATTTTTCAATAAATATATTACTTAAGCCATAACAAGAAGAGAAGTAATTGCAAGTAAAGAAAAAGGAAATTAATGTCCACAATTGTGATATGATTGCCATTGATATAATTCTCCCAGGTTGAACTGGTAATCATAGGCACTTTCTATATCAAGAAACTAGGTTTTCTGCTTATCACCTTTCATTCAACAACATTCTTGACCATGAATCACCAATAGCTGACAAGGAAATAATATAGCACCATGGTCTATGGCATCTAAGAGATACAATACCTTGAGCACTTAGAAGAACCAGAAGGTAAAACAACTACAACAGAAGACGCAATGGAAGATTTTGAAGCTCAAACATCAAAAGAAAATGTGCACAGATAAAAATATGCTACTGCCGCTACCACATAACAAGAGGATCTTAACATTCATGGCCTCCGTGGTGATATTTGGAGAGAATAACTTCATAAAACAAACCACAGTTTTCAATATGTACTAAATATAAAATTTATCATCCACTCTAGGGGAACTTTAAGGAGTGTCATAAAGTCCCATTAAGTAACTCTTCGTCATGACTTATGAAAGAAATGGCTGAAATGCTATCTTCGAGTGATGTGTATCAGGGGTTGTTTGGTTGGATTTTTATCAAGTCTTGTACGGATAAAGTTGTTTGTGTGGGTTAATCTGTCAGTAGAGAATGTGAAAGTTTTTGTTTGGGAGAGTTTTTTCCATAGATGGAAGGAGTATGGTTTTTTATTTGGAGATTTTTTATTCGGAAGGAGACGTTTGGAAGAAAAAAAAATTTGTTTTTCAGCATAAAGCTCCCCCTAGAAGCTTACCGAATAAGCCACTTTCTATATCATTAAGCCATTACCAAACAGTTAAGTATAGCCGACCGAATAAGCGGTGAGTCCAATTAAGCTCGTTAAGCTGCTAACGAGCAGGCCCTCAATCTCGTAATCTAATCTTGTAAAATATGGTAGCTTTTCTTACATGATCGTTTGGATTATAGATCCTAATCCATAAACATATATGTACTAAATTTAAAATTGAAAACACCTAACATTATAGAATCCAGTTCAAATAATCAAAAATCAATCAACAAAAAAAATAATCAAAGAACATGAATTTTAAAGGCATAAACTGCTGCTAATGTGAATACATTGTAGATCAGAAAACCTACAGCCAACACCAGTTGCCTATCAAAGTCCACAGACTCAAGAATTATCAACAATTAGACAACGCAAATCCTAAAATCCACATAACAGATCGAAGATCTAGAAAACACATCGGCGCAAATTTAGGGCTCTTACCAGAAAAGCGAAAAACAGCAATCTTCATCAACACGAATTCACATACAAATGAAGAAGAAGAAAAAACAACAAACGGATCAAAATCAAAGTAATGAAATTAAACAAAAATAAATCGTTTTTGAGGATAAAAGATGAGATTTTATTACAAGGAGTGTCGGCAGACATGGTGCCCATGAGATTGGTGTGCCATAGATTCCGGTAGTTCTGACGGAGCTGCATCTTGTCCAAATGCTCTTGAGATGCCGCCATTTTCGACAAGCTCCCGGTAGATCGAGCTTCGTATCAAAGAAGAATGAAATTGAATTGAAGAATTCTTACAGGCTTTCGATGGTGGACTCCCTCGGAAGTTGACTGGATAAAAAAGGAAGCAATGCGTTAATTTCAACGAAGGTCTTGAAATATTACCTAAATCCACCTTTTAATTTTACATAAATAGTCCTTATAGAATTAGAAAATTAACAATAGACCCTTGATTTGTGTTTTTTTAATATTTTTCTAGAACAAAAATACATTAAATTGTAAATACTTTCGTTTCTCACTTTATTTGGTAGTTGTTGAATGATATGGTACAATAAATGATTAAAAGCTCATGATATAATACAAAAAAATATATAATTATTTACAATAAAATTAGGGCACTTAATGATTAAGGGAGGAACAGGATGTAAAATCATTCAGAGAATTTTTAAACCATTAAAATGCAGCTTTTTTTATCAAACAATATTTATCTCTTAACGATTCAAATGTTGTTTCTTAATTAAACTATTAAAAAGTAAACATACAACCCATAATATAAACATAATTTTTTTTCGATTTAAAATAGTGTTTAATCTATAGACTAAAATAAAACATGATTGGATAAAATAAATGTTATAACCCGGTTTCAGACAATCTGGGTTAAGGTAAAATTATACGT